ACAGTAGAACATTCATTTGTGATATTTTAATTCGCAATATTTTGAGTCTCTGTAACATATTATTTCGTGGATTTATTTACTGACTTATGCAAAATCATTCCCATTTAAACAGTAATAATATTCAGTGTTATATCAATGTATCAGTACTGTAGCAGTATTAATCAGTGTTAATATTAGTATTATATCAGCCTTTTATCAGTTCAGCATCTGTCATGTTTGTATCAGTAACGTACCAATAATGTATCTTGAATATTAATCTGTAACTCTGTAACATATTATATTGTATGTCTTGTCGTGCACGTTGAATACCTTTCAGGTGGCATTATGTATTTTGAAGCGGTGCTATAGATAGTGGTGGACGTGGTGCTATACTAATTAACCGTTTGATAAAGGGATAGTGCCCACGTCCTCCGTTCTCTCTCTCTCCCTCTCTATTCTATCTATAAAAAAACCTTTTTATTGAAGTGTTTAAATTAACAAAAAGCAGCATTGGTACTTCTTGCAAGTATTTAAAATAATATTCGATGAAGTTAAATTCAAGTAACATAGTCTGAGATTAAACATAGCATAATCTAAAATTAAGGTACAATAACATGCCAAACAAGTATTAATTTAGAAGTCAAACAACAAAAATCAGCATTATATTTTCAAATTTTCACAGGACTAGTTTCGCATTAAAGAACATGAGGCATATGTTAGAAAAAAGGAAATACAAATGTCTTCTGTTGTCCAGCGTTTTTGGTCCGAAAATCACACTTTCAACTTTTCTGCAGCCAAAATTATTCAAAAAACATCTTCCATGGGTGAATTAGATTTTCTAGAGGCGTTTCACATTAAAAAAAAAATCTCTCTGTACTAGTTACCGATCCCAACTTCAATCCATCTTTGCCTTCAGCCTTTAAGGAAATTATGTTTTAGTTCTCGTTTCATCAACAGATGGTGCCAGTAGCTTAACTTCTGTCCAGCCATTCTTATCTTATCTCGTTCATTTGCGCTTTGGCAGCTGAGCATGACCATCTAAACTAGTCCTGTGAAAATTTGAAAATATAATGCTGATTTTTGTTGTTTGACTTCTAAATTAATACAGAATAGTCTACTTAAGCTGGCTCAAGTAATTAACAAAGCGTAATAAACTTTTAAAGTCATCCAGCGCAATGGCTAACTCTAAAGCATTCAAACCCTTGGCTTAAATAGGAAGTTAAAGGAAATATTCAAATCATAATAACTGGTTAATGAACATAAAAACCTACAACCTAGGGTTGGTTAACAGTGGCCTGTCATTACTGACGGGCAAAGTCTGCTGTCTAATTTGTTGACTTTCCAATGACACCGGCTATTGACCACAGGCTGTTCAGTATTATCCCACATCAGAGCTGTAGCTTGGTTTTTAGCAACAAGGGACAACCGAAGATCTCGCGCCCCTCCTGTTTGATAAGACTGAAAGACTAAAAACATTCCAAAATTTCAGGAGCCACTAGGTCGGGAGCCACTCAGCAAACACCAGACGGATTTTAGCCCGGAAGAAGCTTTTAAATTCACTATGTTATCCCCGTGATCCGGACACAAAGCTACTGATTACATAAAAAGTTTGATTTTTACAAAGACTTCTCTTTCCGGTTCTTACTGTGCAAAATTCTTATCTCGATTTTTAAACATTGACTACAGGAAAATATTTGTTGCAAGCTTCGTGCGCAGAAGATCGGCTAGGAGAAGCGCATATTTACGTCTTGAGTTACTGGACCTTTCTTTTATTAACAACGTGCATGCAAGTCTGCACGTGGTATTAATTTATGATGTGTTGTGAATAATCACACTTATTCCCTGGCTTATGATTTGAAGTTATATGTATATTAACCTTAAATGTTTATACTTTGCTTAGGTTGTATTGGCAACAGTCCTTGTAGTGTAGTTTGGTGTGATATGTAGAAGTGTGCTATGCCATGTGCGTGATTAATTCCATGTTTTAATAAAAGACTCTACTTAATATCCCCGGCCTCTGATTCACCTTTTTAAAACTTAACATTATAATAAGTTAATTATTATGATATTATATCATAAGTTTATAAGGTATTTTTCCCGCCTTTATAGCGTGCCTTCGTGGTGCAGTGGTCAGCACACTGAGCCGATATTTCAGAGGTCCGTGGTTCGATTCCCGGCTAAGGCGATTGCTCATTTTTCATCTCTCTTACTTCCAAACAATCCTAATGTCTCTACAGTGGCGCCCGAGCTAAAAGGGTGTTGGATGGAATTCTCCGAACCCAGGATTTGGCGACTGGGTCCCCTAAAAACCAGAGTCGCCGTTTAAAGGGGGAGTATATAAGGTATTTCTCTCGCCTTCCTAGCGTGCCTTCGTGGTGTAGTGGTCAGCACACTAAGCCGGTATTTCAGAAGTCCGTGGTTTGATTTCCGGGGAATGCGTTTGCTCATTTTTCATCTTGCTGCTTCCCCAAAATCCTAATGTCTCTACAAGTTAACGTACTGCTGCATAAATCTTTTAAAACTTATGATTTTATGCTGGGTACCTTGAATTTCTAAACGTTAAATGTTAAATTAGCAGGCATGTCGTAACTACTTAAGATAAAATTGTTTCTAAAATAGAGAAGAAATTCACTAACCAGATTACTTTTTTTTTTTTTTTTTCTGGTAATATTTTAAAATCTTTCTTAAATTTTTTCGAAGAATTTACTGGTGATTTTTCTTCGCTGCATTAGAAAGTAATCTGAAGTATTAGATTGCTATTATTCTGCATATATACATATTTATATAAATATTATTAATTAAAACGTTCCCTTCAGAATTGCTGAGACACTTTTTTTTAAAAAATTTTACACCTTATTGTTTTAGAATACTCGTTATATCCGATAGCAGTTATTAAGCTACTTTTCCTTAATACATATAAGCATCTGATAGAACGCTCAGGTTAGCTTGTGTACCGAGAAGGTATATTTTAAACAATACATAATTTTTAAATAATAGGTACTATTAGGCTTAACAAAAATTGATGGCTAAAATTTTTTAAAAATTATACAGTTTCTGCAATTAAAAAAAGCATAAATTACTTATTTTTTACCGTTAATTATATACTGGTTGATACTCAGATACTAGCCATGAGATGAAATCAGTTAAGAAGTAAAGTTTACTAAAACTACAGGACTCTTTTGTTAGAAATAGTAGTAAATACAACCTAAAGACTATCTGATGCACCACCCATAGGCAATAAAATATAAGCTCTAGTAGCTCTTTCTGTACCTGAGTTTTGATGGAAAGGGTGGATACATGGCGGTTTTAAAGTTTTCTTCGTCTTTAATGTGTAAAAAACATAGCTTATTTGGCTAAGCTTTGCTTTGTCGTCAAAAGCTAACAAAAAGAATTCACCGAACTTCAATTAATAAACATACATATGAAACTTAACCTAAAGGTTTATTGGTACTTCGCTGTTAACGGGGCGCCACTCGCCAAACGTATAATGTTTAAATATGTGTATTACGCCGAATTTTCGTGCACGGCTTCGGCATTTCTCACTTCAAACATTATATATATTAAAATCATTAAAATACAGGAAATGGAATAAAAAAAATTCATGAAATGGTAATTCTTTTCATGAAGAAATGAATTTTCTTCAGATATTCGTTTAGTATTACAATATCTCATAGTAGTTATGTTTTAAATACCCAAACGTTCAACAGAACTTAATTCAAAACAGCTAAAGAGAGCTAATCTGCGAATTCGCTGCAGTCGGCAAGAGAAGTTTTTCTAAACAAACTCTTAAAACAACTAACTAAGAGGTTTTCTTCTTTTTTATAAGCTTTTTAAATCACGCCCGAGATTGTTCTAGCAATTTCTCGAAATCAAAAAGAGATATTTATTTATTAAATGTTAAATGCACGAGATCTTGTATTTTAAATTTTCCGGCTTAGCTTTCTTTTAATATTCGTCACACGCTGCACTGCAAAGGGAATAAACAATTTTATTTATAATTCTACTAACATTAACTATTTAACATATCCGTAACAATATTTTTTTACAATATTCTGTTGTAAATAACAAACGCTGCATTCTTTATTCAGTCGTAAACATTTCTCTTTCCAGTCTATAGCTGCAACTGAAATGCGTATCGTGTTGCCTGTGAGTCAAATTTAGCGCTAGTGTTAATGTTTGATGCTAAGTGACGATTTATTTTCTACTTTTATATATTTGAGAAAAAAAATTAAAAAAGTGACCACCACTATTTGCTTATTTAAATTAATCCAATGCATTTAAGTTGTATAAGAACTCAAGGAATTCGACCGCGTCTGGCATGAGGGGCTTATTCAAAAGCTCATCACTCTGAATTTTAGTCGAGACATCATTCTCCTCATTAACTCTTTTATTACAAATAGAAGATTCTTTATCAACATTCATGACGATAATTCTGATTGTAAGACGCTTAAAGCCGGAGTGGCTCAAGGCTCTGTTCTTGGACCTGTTTTGTATATTTTTTACGTCTCAGACTTCCCTAAAATAAATTCTGATGTAAATTCCTTCCTCGATTGTTACGCCGATGATAAGGCCGTCGCCATTAAGTCTTTTAACGCCGATACTGCTATTAAAAATATGCAAAGATTTGTCTCTGATATTGAAAATTGGTGCAAGCAATGGCGCATTTCCATCAACGCTCAAAAATCACAACTTCTGTTAATCAACAAAAAACGCATAATGACTCCTGCTAGAAGAAAGCTTAAAATTTTCAATATTACTGTACCTGAAGTTAAGAAAGCTACTTACCTTGGTGTAGTCCTGAACAAGCAATTCAAATGGAAAGACCATATTATTAAGGTCAGAAACAAAGCTCACACGGTAATGAACAATCTTGCACCCCTGCTGGGTAATTACTCTAAATTGGACCTTTCTCGAAAAAGACATCTTTACGGCCATACGGCCTATTTTTTCCAAGGAGGTTAGAATCTCCTTAGGAATCAAGGAGGTTAGAATCTTCTATTCACCTCCTTGATTTTTTCCTACGCATCCCTTGCTTGGGCTATAATTACTACCAAAGATCTTTATAAATTGCAGGTACTACAAAACAAGTTTATGAGGCTTATCACAAACGCACATTTTTATGTCTCAAACTACACTCTTCACAGAGACCTTAAACTGGATACCGTTGAAAAATACCTCCATAAAATGAACAAAAACTTTTTCGACAAAGCCATGCAATGCGACTTTTTACGTCATTTTAAAGTTTTTGTTTGTCTACCTTTGAGAGATGATAGTTGCGTCAGACCTTACGCGGCCCATCTCACGCGTGACGATAATTTCACTACTTAGACCGCTTTCACGGATTTTCCTGTATATAGTGTAAATTTGTAGATATTGAATATATGTTACTAGTCTATCATTTGTATCTTTTATTTATGAGTTTTGTATTTGTATTGTATGTTATATCTTATGATATCTGATTTAGATAATAAAACTTTTCTCAGACTTATTCTCATGTCTTAACCACCCACTTATCATGTGACGCTGGTCACTTTCCTTTTCCCACTTCCGACGCTTCCTCAGAGCCCGTCCAGACTGTTCAACGTCTTGTGCCCTATTGCGATACTTAGAGCCGGCAACATCGCGTGCTTTACAGCCTGGCATAAGAGAATTTAAAAAAAAAAAAAAAAAAAAAAAAGAACTCAAGGAGCTTTACGCCTATCGAACTTCATTCGATACAGTTCATCTCAACCTAGCGCTAAATTTTGAAATGTATGGATAAATCACTTACCAAAAGTCACAAAGAAGAGCAACCAGAAAATGCGTGGCTGAATCTCAGTGTGAAGAAATCACCAACATCGTCAGTCCAAACTCTGCAAATATTAGTTATACATATATTAGTTTCCACTTGCTACTTTAAATTAACTTAATTTGCATAGTTTCCACTTGCTACTTTAAATTAACTTAATTTGCATTTTGCTTAAAGTCATGATAAAATTAAAAAGTAACATAAAAATAACTGGTTATTTGCATTTTGCATTTAAGTCATGATAAAAATAAAAAATAACATAAAAATAACTGGTTATTTGCATTTTGCTTTTAAGTCATGATAAAAATGACTTTTAAGTCATGATAAAAATAAAAAGTAACATAAAAATAACTGGTTATTTGCATTTTGCTTTTAAGTCATGATAAAAATGACTTTTAAGTCATGATAAAAATAAAAAGTAACATAAAAATAACTGGTTATTTGCACTTTGCTTTTAAGTCATGATAAAAATGACTTTTAAGTCATGATAAAAGTAAAAAGTAACATAAAAATAACTGGTTATTTGCATTTTGCCAAAAGTCATGATAAAAGTAAAAAGTACAGAAAAAGTAACATAAAAATAACTGGTTAGTTATAAATAAAAAAATAGCTAGTTAATGGTTACACATGCACTGAAAACCCTGAGAACGAATTTATCTCCTAACATTTCTCGACAACATGTCAGCTCCAATAATAATGTTGCATGCGTAGGGGTTCGTTACGAAACGAATGCACAAGTCCGACGGAAAATGAACAAAAAAATTTATTATTATCACAAAATGCTTAAATTCCCTCAGATATTCTTTCATTTTTACAATATCTCACAGTAGTTATCTTCTAACTACTCAAACGTTCAAAAGAACTTAAATCAAAACAGCTAGAGAAAGCTAATCCGCGAATTCGCTACAGTCAAAAAGAGCAGTTTTCTAAACAACAACAAACTAAGTAACTACTACGAACTGAGAGGTTTTCCTCCTTTTATAAGATTTTAAAATCGCGCGTGAGAATTTTCTAGTACTTTCTCGAAATCAAAAAGAGATATTTATTAAATGTTAAATGCACGCGCTCTTGTATTTTCAATTTTTCCGGCTTAGCTTTCTTTTAATATTCGTACGCGCTGCACTGCGCGAGAAATAAAACCATTTAATTTATAATTGAACTAACATTAGCTTTTTAAATACCAAATTCGTAACAATAAAATATTTTTTAAGTTCACAAATTTTCAAACATTTAATAAAGAATATTCATAGTTCACAATGTACTTTTAATTATGATCTTTCCAATAAAAGCTTATTCAAAATGCAGTTTTTTTCAATAAATGCAATGTTCTCTTCCCAACGCATGAGTTCATTGACGTCACCTGGCTCACAGAAGTGGAAGAAACAGACACATTTAATTCCTCAAGCAAATAAATGCGTTGGAACAAACTAGTCAGTAACGTCACATACTCAAAGATGTTTGGTATGGAAGAGCAACCATTGCAGTGTAATAAGCTTGACCCAAACACCAGTAAGTGGCTGAGTGGTTAAGATCGTTGAATGCTAGTAGCTCGACCAGAGTTTGAACCCAGCCAAACAGGCTAATGGTTTGTATCTGAGGTTTTCCACATAAGCAACGTGAATACGAGTCATTTTTTCCTAGAAAGTCCTCGACGAAAGCGTCCTTTTCACATATCCCTAGTGTGATATGTAATAATAATGATAGTAATCCCTAGTGTGATTTTCAAATAACGCAACCTAACGTCAGCGGGCGAATTCGACTCTAACGTTACTGTTTGCATGCGTCCAAAAATTATCCTATAACTCCTTATAATTCTTCTGTTCTTTAAGAGAGAAAGAGAGGAAATTTGCCAGCGGTCAATCATCTCTCTCCGCTCTAACATTAAACATCCTGACAACATACCAAATAGAAACGTACAGTGTATCAAAAAAGTGATGGGACACTTGTGCTTTACAAAAAGAAACTGCAATAAAATTAATTTAAAACACATGTAAAATTTTTTTGTGGGTGTGTTTCATACTTAAATTTAGAAAAAATTATTACATAACATACATTTTCTCAAGATATTAAAATATTAATTTAATAAAAATACAATTGTTTAGAACGGAGCAGGAAATGGCTCACTTAAGTGATGGGACACTTACTTTTCCATCAAATATTTATCCAAAAATTTTACTTCTTAAAAGGTTTTAATATTTTGTTGGATTTCCTTTTACTTTTAAAACATGATTTAATCTTCTTGGGATGGATTCGACTAATTTTTTTGTGATTTCTGGAGTGATTTTACCCCATTCTTCTTGAAGCACCGATTTTAATTGTTGTTTTGAAGAAATGGTGTGTTCGCGAATTTTTGATTCCAATTCTTGCCAAATATTCTCTATGGGATTTAAGTCTGGAGATTGTGGTGGTGTTTTTATTATTTCAGGACAGTTATACAGCAGCCAGAGTCTAACGTTCAAAGCAGTGTGCTTGGGGTCATTGTCCTGGTAGAATTTAAAATCGTTATGAAGGTTCAATTTTCGTGCTGAAGATTTCAAATTTTGATTTAAAATTTCAATATACTTGTACCGATCCATTATACTGTCAATAAAAACAAGATTACCAACTCCAGCGGACGACATACACCCCCATACCATAACTCCTCCTCCACCATGTTTTACTGTTGGCACCAAGTTCTGTTTGCGAAATTCTTCCCTGGGTTTTCTCCACACCAAGATTCTACCGTCAGAACCAAATATATTAAATTTACTCTCATCAGCAAATATAACTTCATTCCAGTAATCAGAATTCTTATTTATGTTGGATTTTGCGAAAGCCAGTCTGAGTTTTCTACTCTTTTCACTTACGAAGAATGTTTTCCTGGCTGCTCTACCGTGATATCCAGTAGATCGAATTACTCTTCTAATAGTCTCAGAATTAACAATTACTCCATATAATGCTTGTAAATCAGCAGCAACTTTAGGAGCACTCATTCTTGGATTTTTTTTAAATATTTCGAACGATAATTCGCTTTATTCCATTGGATAGCTTTGATGGTCGGCCAGGTCTTCTTTTTCTCTGAATCATATGATTCTTTTTATATCGTTTAATGATATTGAAAACTGTTGAATGACTGAAGTTAACTGTTTCAGTAGTTTCTCTAATAGATTTTCCACGTTCAATATGCAAATTAATAACTAATTTTTGAATTCCAGACAAAGTTTCTTTTCGTTTAGCATTCATGGCTGCACAGAGCTAAAAAACACAAAAATTCCAAAACAAACTGGAGAGAAATACTGCAGACGATTTTATAAATTATTTTCAATTGCTTTTGAGTAAAAATAAATACCCCAAAAGATATTTTTATTGCTTACTTCAGACGATTTTTGTTGCATAGTACGTAGTGTCCCATCACTTAAGTGAGCCATTTTCTGCTCCGTTCTAAACAATTGTATTTTTATTAAATTAATATTTTAATATTTTGAGAAAATGTATGTTATGTAATAATTGTTACTAAATTGAAGTATGAAACACACCCACAAAAAGTTTTACATGTTTTTTAAATTTATTTTATTGCAGTTTCTTTTTGTAAAGCACAAGTGTCCCATCACTTTTTTGAGACACTGTATTAACGATCATAGGCTAAACAATGGAAGATTGACAAACCGAATGAAAAGAGAAGACAATTCGGAAATGCACATGGCCAGCTATTTTTGCCCAGTCAACAGTTTTTATTAATGAGAAAGAGAGCGAATGAGAAAAGAACAGAATTTCTGAGATTCTTTTGAGCATCTTACAGAAAAAGAATAGGAAAGAAAACATGAAAGAGGACAGAGTTAAGCAAATAGATTTGTAAATGAGAAAATGTATTTGCGGAAAAAAAAACCGCTTCATTTCAGTTGCAGCTATACACTGGAAAGGGAAAATTTTACGGCTGAATAAAGAATGCAGCGTTTGTTATTTACAACAGAATATTGTAAAAAAATATTGTTACGGATATGTTAAATAGTTAATGTTAGTAGAATTATAAATAAAATAGTTTTATTCCCTTTGCAGTGCAGCGTGGGACGAATATTAAAAGAAAGCTAAGCCGGAAAATTTAAAATACAAGATCTCGTGCATTTAACATTTAATAAATAAATATCTCTTTTTGATTTCGAGAAATTGCTAGAACAATCTCGCGTGATTTAAAATGCTTATAAAAATTTAGGAAAAACTCTCAGTTTAGTTAGTTGTAGTTGTTTTAAGTTTGTTTAGAAAAACTGCTCTTGCTGACTGCTGCGAATTCGCAGATTAGCTGTCTTTAGCTGTTCTGAATTAAGTTCTGTTGAACGTTTGGGTATTTAAAACATAACTACTATGAGATATTGTAATACTAAACGAATATCTGAAGAAAATTTAAGCATTTTATTTTATTTGTTGCGATAATAATAAATTTTTGTTCATTTTTCATCGGACTTGTGCATTCAATTCATAACGAACCCGTACGCACGCAACAATATAATTACAAAATTTCATATTTTCTGGAATAGTCTTAGCTTCATTTCAGTTTGAGTTCATATCTAATCCAGGTCAAAAATTATTTAATTTTTTATTTTATCTGCAATTAGCTATTAATTTGTTATTTTAATTTATAATATTTCTATCTCGAACTGAATAATACATTTGTAATATGTATTTAGATCCTTTTCAAATAACACACATAAGATATACACCCCGATTTGAAAGTTAGGTTTGGTTTATTTGGTAACGGAAAAGCATTCGATGGCTACCTGCCTAAGAGGAGGAATGCTTTCGGGGAGGACTTTCTAAGGGAAATTGTGTCGTATAAATGTTAGACAAGGGAAAACCACGAAAACGCACATGCAACTAGCCCGTTTGCAAGATTCAAACCCCGGACCACCAGTGTTCAGAGACTTACCCGTCGTCAGCTGGTGGCCCTGTTTCCAAATTCAAATTTTGCATTTATTTTGATTGATAAACTGAACCTTTGAATTAAAACAATTAATTAAACCAAACCTTCACCAGAATTATATGAATAAAATGAAATGTTTATTAACTTGCACAACAATTATCAAAATGGCA